TGGGAGGGGGGCCGCTCTGGCTCATAAAGCATCCGCAGAGCTACTTCCTCTTCACGACAGAGAGACACCCAAGCTGGTCTCACTTCCCCGCCACCCCATGTTCCCCCAACGCAACAACTTCCAGGAACTCCCCCCTCAGGAGGCCGCATGGGAACAAAGGCCGAACAGAGTCGGTGAACCCAGAGACGGCCGACAGCGTCAGGGTCCTTTCGGGTGAAGAGACCTAAGAGCCCGAGAGGATATTATTAGCATTTTGCTTTAAATGTTGTTGCATCTGAATCTCTGCGCAGTGGGGAGGGCACAGGGAAGAGTGTGAAAAGAGCCAGATTAAGCAGAGCAATATTTCTTTATTTTCCCTAAAATGACAAGCTTTGGCCATCTGTTCCTATTGCATCAACCCATTCAAAATACTAAAATGCAAATTCCTCGCCGTCAGCCAGGGCCTTTCAGATGATAAATGACCAAAACCTCCCTGATTTCAGCCTCTGGAGACAGGCGTGCCACCTGCAGCTGGGCCAGCGCTCTCGAGCCCCCCAGTGAGAAACACCTGATGTGGCAGGCTCCTCGCCCCCTCTCTCCCTCCCACGCAGGACGCGGGGTCACCTGGAGACACTGCTGTGCGGGGTTCTCCTGGCACCCTCGGCCCGCACACCGGAACTGCCACCCAGCAGGTCCCAGTAAACATTGCTTGAAGGAATACATGCGTGAATGAGTAATTCCCCCCCAGAAATGCAGACCTTTGTTCCAATACAGTTTTTGTTGGTTTGTTGTTTGTTTCTGTCCAGGAAAATGGGAGGAGAAAGAACAAAAAACCAAGATCCTCCTGGCAGGAAGGGCGAGTCAACAGAAACTTGGCATCCCTTCGTGCTCCTTCCCCTTTGAGGGCGATAACTGTGCCCTTGAATTTCTCCTCGGTTTCTCACCAAGGAGGGACCGAAATTAAAAACCTTGGAGGGTAATTAGCAACAAAACGTTCTGATGTCAAGAAGTGCATTTTATGGGACCATATTTATAATATTAATTGGGCCTCTGCGTAGCCAAATGGTGAAATTATTGCTCCCATACAAATGGGCCCAGAAGAGAAAAACAGCCCAAAATAGCACAGATATTGCAAAGCAGGACAGAGGTGATTTCTCTCCGCGTGAGAAGCGACCGATTGCAGTGCCTTCCCCAATCCGCTTGCGTGAAGTGCAAAAGGGAGCCTGTGGGGCGCAGCCGGGCCCACCCCATCTCTGAACTGCTCCGGGGCTGGAGCTGGAAAGGGAGCAGAGCCCGCTCCCACCACGCGGCATGCTTTTCACCGGAGGTGTGAGGAGTTTAACCAGTCACCCACCACGTGTTTATTGAGCACCTATTATGGGCCAGGGCAGGGAAAGCTCACGGTCTTTCCCGGTACGGAGTTTGCCATCCAGTTGCGGGGGGAAGAGACACTGAACCAATTATCACACCGAGAATCTCTAATTAAAGACATAAGTTCTAGGGCAGAAGAGCACAGTGTACAAAGCGAGCACCCGCCCGGGGGCCTGACCTAGTTTGGTAAATCCGGGAAGACTTCTTGGAGGAAACAGTGTTTAAACTGGCACCTGACAACGCAGATGAGTCAGCCACGTACAGAAGGAGAGAAAGTGCTCTGGGCAGAGGGAGCAGTATTTGGGGAGGTAGGTCTGGTGAGGAGGGAGCTGGATGTATCCGAGATATGAAAAGGCCAGTGTGGCCCTAGCCATTTTGGCTCAGTGGATAGAGCGTCGGGCTGTGGGTCCCGGGTTCGATTCTGTCAAGGGCACATGTCCAGGTTACGGGCTCTGTCTCCAGTAGGGGGCGTGCAGGAAGCAGCCGATCAATGATTCTCTCTCATCATTGATGTTTCTCTCTTTCTCTCTCTCTCTCTCTCTCTCCCCCCCCCCTTCCTTCCTCTCTGAAATCAATAAAAATATAGAAAGAAAAAAAGAGAAGGCCAGTGTGATCAGGATGCAATGAGTGAGCAAGTAAGTGGACAGTGGGAAGAGATGTGGCTGCAGAGGGCGGCAGGGCTGTGTCTTGGGGCTTCCTGGGACCCATGACATGGGGGCAGCAACCATTGCCAGGCCTTGGGGCAGAAGCAGAGGTGAGAGATGTAAGAAGGGGCCCTACGGCCAGGCCCCTCAGGGGGATCCTGGGCTTGTTGGGGGGCAACCCAGGCCAAGGCCCATCCCCTGGAGTCCTGGGCTCGGCCGCATATTTGCACATTCCCCACCCTCCAAACACCTGTGCACTCCCCACCCAGGGCCACTCGGCTTCCCCTCCTCTTTGAGCCAAGCCTTCCGGGATCTCAACATGCTCCCCTGGGTATAGGCGGAGCCCCACCTCCCAAGACGCAGTCATGGTTTAGGGAGCCCTCGGGGAGTGATCTGGACCAGGAGCCGTGTGATTTCTCATGAGAGCTTCTTGCCAGGTGGCCCCTGCTGAAACCCCAACCCCAACCTGCCAGTCTAGGCCCGTGGGTCGGCAAAACTGCGGCTCTCGAGCCACATGCAGCTCTTTGGGCCCCTTTGAGGGGGGGCTCTTCCCACAAAAATAACCATGGTGCGGGCGCATTTGTACCGGGGCGATTGAAACTTCGTGGCCCATGCGCAGAAGTCGGTATTTTGTAGAAGAGCCACACTCAAGGGGCCAAAGAGCCGCATGTGGCTCGCAAGCCGCAGTTTGCCGACCACTGGTCTAGGCTACTGCCAGGCCTTGGGCTTTTTCAAGTGGCCTCACAACGTACGAGTCGAGCGTGAGGTCTCTGGGTTCATATCCAAATCCGGAGCCTTCTCCCCGTGGCTCTCTCCTCCGAGACCTGGGAAGAATGACAGCTTCTCGTCAGGGGTGCCCGGGAGCGGGGAGCCGGGAAGAGCTCCCAGGGCTCGCACAGGGTAAGCATTCACTCCACACTGGGCCTCGCCCGCTCCCCACCCCCTCAGATTGCCTCCCAGAAGTGGCGGGTCCCCTGGCATTTGGGGAACCAGGCTGAGAGCTGACTCGGCCCCCCGTCCAGCTGGGCTGGCCTCCCACGCCCGCCTCTCACCAGCCCCTTCTCTCTAGTCAACACCAAAAGGTATTGATTTCCCTGAGTTGTTTCCCAGAGAACCACATGTGCCCTCGGTCCCCCTCCGGGGTCCTCACCTCCCCTGCTCACAGCAGCTGCCCAGAGCCACGGGGTCCCCGGCTGCCCGCCGAGGCCCAGCCCTGCTTCCCTTGGCGCCGGTGTAAAGGTCAACGTGACTTTCCCCCCATTATTGCCCTGTGTCTTGTCACACAGACTCTCTCTGTTTCATGCATTAGTCACCGTCTTGCTATCAAATTAAATATTCCTCGGTGGTTATTTTTAGAGAAATCTTTTTCTAACAGTACGTGGCGCAGTGATGTGTGAGCACCCACAGCTCTGGAATCCAGCAGGAGCCGGCGGTCCGAGCCGCATGAGGCTCCGGTTCCTGGGACAGCAGCAGCCCGGGCCGCCGTGGGGTGTCACCCAGCTCTGTCCCTGGGGCTCCTCACCCCCGGGCGGGGATGACCCCAGCAAAGGCCCAAAGGAGGCTCTTGGCACAAGTGCGAGTGAAGCAAAGCATGCAGGTGCCACCCCGGCCGCGTGTGTGACTCGCTCCTCGTTCCTAGGACACGGGCACTGGTCCTGATTGTGCCCCTAACCCCCGCCCCTGCTCCCCCCCCCCCCCCCGAGCCTTCATCAGTGAGGAAGGTAATGCTTTGGACTCCATCTGTGTTTTCATTTCATCTCTCAACTTGTCCAGGAGTTGGCTGGGCGAAGAGCACTGCTTCGGGAGCGACCTCTCAGAGGGCATCTGTGGGCTACAAATGGTCAGGGCGGGAGGCCACGCGGACCGAGAGATCTGGGAAGGCCTGGCTGAGGAGGCCAGGTCTCAGGGGACGAGGCTGGTGGAACACGGCTCAGGAGTAGAGACCTCCTCTCGGTGGAGGCCGCAGGCACCAGGGCGCAGAGAGAAGCAGAGGCGTGTAGGAAGCAGTGGCCTGACATCTCCTTAGGAGAGGTGGCAGGCGGGTGAAGACAGGTGACAGAGTTCCTAGCAGTCGGTAGAGGGCAGGCTGGCCAGTCGGTCAAGGTCAAGGGATGCTTCCAAAGTCTTGCCGGGTCCAGGAGCGGTGACCGGGGACGGAGTCACTGATGGGTTCGGGGAGGATCGGCGGGGCAGGCTGGGAGGCTGCTGTGACGGGGCCATGGTTCCCTGAGGTCAGGATGTGGGTCTGGCCTGGGGAAGTGGCCCTAAAAACTGGGCAGTAGGCAGAAGGGACCACAACAAGCCCCAGGAGGAAGCAGGTGGCCATGGAAACTGGCTGGCAGGGGCGTGGGAGACACAAAGGTTGACCTTGGACCCCACAGTGGGCGAGCACAGCCCAGCGGGGCCTGGGGAGCCACGGGGAGAGCCCACTCGGAAAGTTACACGCGTGAGTCACTGGGTAGGATCTGCTCCCTCCCAGGAGGGGACATAGAACCAGTAGAGCAACAAATGGGAAAAGGAGCATCTTCCCTAACCGTCACAGACAGATGGGCTACCATGAGACCCCTTCTCTGGCCCATCGAATGCAGAGAGAAGTGTAAAGGACAGCGCACAGGCAGGCAGGCA